AGGTCATTTTTAGTGAAGCTGCAATTCAGATGTTCATGGCCTGCCCAAGTGTGTGCAGCTCTTCCACCTGAGATGCAGACTTCTTACTGAACTTTACGATGTTTCTGCTGGCCAAGTCCTCAAGTATATCAAGAGCCCTTTAGAATACAGCTCTGCCATTTGTCATGTTAACCACACCCTCTTAATTTCTTATCCTCTTGAAATTTGCTGAGGGTGCACTGTGTGTCATGATCTAGGTCATTGATGAAGATATTCACTGATGCCTTAGGTATCCCTGAGCTCCTCTGCTCATCACTGACCACTTGACATATGCCAAGTGATCATCATCACCCTTTGAGCCTACTGGTTCAGTCAGTTCCCAACTCAGTGCCTTCTTTTAGTCCACTCTTCCTCAGCTTTCAAAGCATGCTGCAGGTGACTGGGCCAAAAGCCTTACCAACACCATTGCATGCAAATGAGCATAGCCATGCTGGGAGAAGGATAACTAACTAGGTAATACAGCACACAATCCAGGAGAAACCCACAATCCAGGCTATCCACAAGGTTTCCAAACCATACTTCTTTTCTGATTAGCTGTACATGTTCATCCAACACTTCCTCGTGTTTGGATGAGAGGCTGTTGGAAGAGTTTTAAAGGGTGCTCCCCGTGTTACAGATTTTCCTGCCCACAGAAGAGGTGTGAGAAATACCTTTGCAGCCACTCCCCATGATAGCTAGTGGAGAAAAGGAATTACCATGTGCTACACAGCAGATCCCAGGTGCACATTAGTGGGAGTTATGACATGGGTCAGGTATGACTTTGGAGTCAGCTGTGTTTTCCCTCAGCAAAGAGACATTCCTGCTCAAGGCAGCACCTGTGCTGTGGCACTGGTTCATGAAGAGCAGCCACTTCTCTCCCTTCATCCAAGCAAGTTAGAAATTGCATCAGGAAAGCCAACCAGTCTGGACAAGCACATAAACTGCTTTTAGTCAATCTCTGATGAGTATTCCAATTACCTTCTGGGCCCTTAAATGCCTGGCAAATGTGTTGTTCAGTACTTCAGCTTTTCCTATATTATCTGTCACTACATCAGCTTCTCTCCTATTCATTGCCTTTTTCCTTCCTCAAATTTTACCTTCATTTTTTAAAGTAGCACACATCTGCAGAATCACTTTTGTTTTCCTTTATGACCCTTGAGGGTAAGTATTAGCTCAAATCAATCAGCTTACTAATTTCGTCAGCAGTCAAGCAGTCAAGTAATGCTTGTCTGTATTTTGCATTTTAGGTCATCAGAAAGCTCTTTGCTCAGCCATGAAGGCCTTCTGCTGAGTCCCCTCCTTTCTGCTCAACAGGATGGTTCCTTCCTGAGTTCTCAATAAGTTTTATTTAGAAACCATCCATCTTTCATGGGCCCTGTGTTTCTTTGGCAGCATCCCAAGAGATTTTGCTAAGCAACTCTCCAAAAAGCTGTAGTCTGCTCTTCTGAAATCTTAACAGTCATAACTTGCTGACTATCTTTCCAGACCTCCTTTGAATCAAGAAGTAAGCCAACTCATGGTCACTCTGATCCCAGCTGTTATTTATCACCACCTTTGCCACAAATCCTGTTTCTCCCCTCTGGCAGTATCAGGGACCAGTCAGGAACACAATCAATGAATGCCCTGCACTGCCTGCACGACAATTTAATGTTACTAGAAACTAAAACAAGCAGTGTCTGACTTGCCATGTGTACTGATAGAATTATTAGACATAGTTTTCATCCGCTTTTGATCCCCTATTCTACTAACCTGAACTTGTAAAGGTGATAATTGCTACAAAAAAATACAGGAAGCCAAATTTTCCATTCTAAATGAATTTAAAATAAATCCAAAAAAAATCAAGAAGTAAAATATGCCCATCATTGTTAGTATTTTTGTACCAACAATACACACAACTTCAAAAAAATCAGTAATTAAGAGACAACATTCAGCTTCATTAAAATTTATGGCTGAAGATGATTTGTTACTATTCTATCCCTTGTGCTCAGATTAGTTTATTTTTTATATAGACTGAACTAATTTTTTTCCAACACAGATTCAATATCAGACCAAAAAATACAAATTTTTATCAATTGAAACACTTGTTTTTGTTAGGCAAAATAGATGTATTTTGGCTAAAAAAACCCTCAAACCTTAGAATTGGAACAAACAAACAAGAAAAATTAAACCAGCAGGAGGAAGTGGGAAAATTAAGTTGAATGTTCAATCATTTAAGCTTACTGACAGATTCATTATCACAAGTAAGTTAAAGGAAAGCTTGTCATCTGCCTCACTCAAATCACTTGTACAGAGAATTCCAAAATTGCAAAAGCCTTTTTTAGTAGAGAAGTTACCGTTTCAAGTATTTTTAGCTGGCACAAATGAAAATCTGCCAAAAGTGTTGCAAGACTGCATGGGTAATAAATTTCCTTATGTGAGCACAATGTAAATTAGCCCTGTAAACCTATTACAGCAACAACCAGGTAGTTGGAATGGATAGTACTGCAATAGCTGGCAAACATCTTAATTATAAAACATTATGTGAGAAAACCTAATTGTAAATGCTGCAATCAAGGTGTCTATAGGTTTTACTAAAGTTATCAATATGATAATTGGATTCCCAAAAGATTTTCTGATTTGGTCAGCAACAAAGACTTCACAAATATCTTTTTATTTTAATAGCTGTCTCATCAGCAAATCTTATGGCACAGAACAGAAATAGTGCATTCACTATTCTGAGCTTATAGCTGTGAAAATGACTATGAGAATTAACTGTGAGAATTAACTGCACTTCAGTAGCCCCACTTGAATCAATAGGCAATAATTAGATGAATGGACATTAAAAAAACCAAACTAACTCAGCAGCATTTAAGGGTTAAATGATTTGGTTTCTAAGGTCAGAGCCTTGCAGTCATTGTAGTTAGAGAAGAAAACTGGTCTTTGGCTCTTGCTTGGGTGTCTCTCAGATGTATGTGCATGTCCAGCAAGGAAATGCAATGGTAAGAAGAGTAATTTGTCTTTATGGCTATGTTCATTTTCTCTTTGTGCCTTTGTTTCCTGATGTACCATATTGACTATTATCACTAAAAAAATGAAGCTCATAATAGCCTCCTCCTTTTCAATAGGTCAGAGTTAACACTTGCTCAGAAAGATGAGATTTCCATCTGATTTCTGCTGTGGCATTCAGAGACTGCCCCTGTCACTTGACACCCTGATTTCTGCCAGTGCCACACACTGTCACAAAAGGTCATGCTCATAGAGTCAGCAGCTCCTGTCCATAATGCCAATGCCACAAGAAGATTTTGGATATCCAGCCTTCATTAGCCAACATGTTAATTTGGAAATCCAGGCAGGAAAAAGAACACAGGAGTGCAGTATTTCACACAATATACAGAGCTTCTCTGGACGTTCATTTTTTTCCCTCACAATAATGCAAAATAGACATTAGTGTGAATACCTCAGACAAGAAACAGACTGCCAGTATTTCATTTTTCTCTCAGGAGCTAAACCAGTACAACTAACTTGTTTAAAAACAGTCTAAAAATAGCATGGGAATGAATCTTTCTTCCCCCCCCAAAATAAAGGTCAAAAGGATATCCTGACTAATTTGAATACATATCCTGCATGGGTCGTTACAGGCTTTTTATTGGATATCTGCTAAACTATTGGGCTAAGAGTGTCACTGCCTTTCCTTCTATGACTTTTCTTTTCTTTCTTTTTTTTTTTTTTATTCACAAGTAACTAGAAAGTTAAAACCAGATACATGATCACAAAGAAACAGGACTAATGATACTTTGTCACTTTATAAACATTCTAAGTGTTTAAATGGTCTTTTCATTGCCAGGACTGCTTATCTTTCTTTTTAGAATTAATCTCTTCACTTTTGGGACTTCATGATGTCCTTAGCTATAATTTACTTTTTTTTTTTTTGCTGTTTTTTAAACTTTTCTAACTCTTTCTCTGCAACAGTGGTGATGACATCTCATTATACAAGATGCCCATTTAGCCCTACAAGCTTATTGACAAAGCCTTCATCACTGCAACTCAGATATTTTAATATTGGTATTCTCCCAATTTTGGGAGAATACCCAAATTTGGTATTCTCCCAATATTGGTATTCTCCTATTGTATTTCTCAAATACATGGGTATTTGAGAAATTATGAGATCATTGTTAGATCAGCTAAAAACATTGGTGCAGATTTAATGAAATCAATGTTTAACTATTAATTAAAAATGTAACTTCTTAGAGCCATTCAGAGAAAATCCATCCTAATTGAATGTCTCATAAATTGAAGGAAATCAATTTCAGCTTTGCATTCTCAATCAAAACAAAAGAGAAACTCTTTTAACCAAGACAGGGAAGAAAGGTGTGGTTTCCACACATTTATGTACTGATTAAACACTGTATCATGACTTAGTTACTCTGAATCTGTCTGATCCAACAAGTTAAGCTGCTTAAGATAGTAATCACATGCAACAAGAAAAATGAAATGCAAATTAGTGGGTTATGAAGCTGATGAATACGTAAGTGGATGAGATTCTTTGATTTGTAAGACACAGCAAGTCACATTAGAGGATCAGAACAGCCCCCTCCTAGCACAAAAAAAAAAAATCTCATTTTCTGTGGCATTAGACATTATAATAAGGGCTCATTTTTCAAACTGAACAACTTCTGTCTTCCAGGTGAATGGTAGTGCTCTTCAAACGAAAAGATAAATACACACTGTCTCATCAGTGACATTCAGTGTTCACCTAAAACAAGGCATAAAAGAACCCTCCCAGCATTTTCCTCTGTGTCTCTTCTACCTTGAAATTAACTACACAGATACAATTCTGCGACTGTACATCCATATAGTAGTCACAATTCTTTGGGGATTATTAAAAAAAAAGAAGTCTGAATAGAAATCTGCAGTATGCTGTATTCTATTTGAGATGCACTGAATGCTTAACTTTTGTTCTTTACAATTGCATGAAAGGGAACAAACAAAGAGAAGCCTCTGACCTGGTGTAGTCGTCCTCCACAAGCATGTGCTTTGGAATGGGTGAGTATCTTCCTGGGGAGATAGGGGCCAGGGATGCCTTGTACTCTAAAGTGCCATTGTTTCCAGAGGAGAGTATATGATTTTCCATTGGTGGAGAATAAGCTGATGGTAAAAATGAACATTTCTAGTCAGCAACTTCCATGTTTCATTAGATGGCACAAGAACATAATTTTTTAAATTTAATTACCAAGAAAATGGTTCAATGCTGTAAAATGAGATCAAAACAAACAATCCTGGCTTGAGAGAGCTTAAAATATAACAACAAAGAATGAACAGCTGGAGTTTTACTGAAAATAACAACAACAGCAGCAACCACAACAACAACAATAACAATAATAATAATAATGATGCTGGCTTATTTGCAGGGATTCACTCTTTAGAGGATCTTTAGTTCCTGAAGAGAGAGTCTGAATAGGTCTCCTGTTTGAGAGACAGGAAACATTTTCTTCACTTAGGACTAGCAGAAGGAAATGCAATTAGGAAAGAATGAGATTAAAAGCACTCTTTTTGGCTCCAGTGCAGTAATGGGAGTAACATAGTAAGAACTCAATGGAGGATAAGAGCAGGAATTTTATGTGTGGCAAGAATTATGTATACATTCAAATCTGGGATCTACTACAGGTGACCAAATCCCCAATGTAATTGAAATTTCAGTATCAACACAGATGATATTTAGACCATGGTAAATCTCTTAAAATGGAAAATTGATGCAAATATCTTACATATTAATTATTAATGATGAAAGTTACATTACTGTGTTGTCTGTTTATTTTTTGGGTTTGCAGGGTTTGTTTGTGTGCTTTTTGCTATTCTGAAGTTATCTGGGACATTTATGACTGAAGAGATGCAGTAATAGTTGTATTCTATCTCTAGTTAATTTAATTAGAAAAAGAAAGGATAAATAGAAAAATCAGTGTTACATGCTTCTGCAATGAGCTGTGATTAATTTTCTCATGAGAAGAAGACAGCCAAACTTTCTAGTATTAGTTTCAGTCTTTTTTTCAGATGCTGAGATACAGAATGCTTCAAAGCAAAATCTCTCTACAGGGAAAGGCCATTATGCATTCTGAAATACTCTGAACATGTAGGTGTAATGAAAGGTTCCCTGAGGATAAATGAATCTGTATGCACCAACAGCTTGGGAAGGGCTACTGCAAATCTTTTCAACCTTTCCTTTCTCCCTGGAATTGTTTCTGTCTTCTCATATGCTGTTGATCTATAATCTGACATAATAAACCACACTGTTTTAGAACTGCAAAATTATTATTTTGAAAGTATAAAGCTCAAGACTGGATAGGGACATTTAGCATTTTTACTTCCTGGCCTTTGCTAAGACCCAGACCAGGCTGCTACTGAACATGATTGCCATCTGTTGTAACATTTGCTAACTAAATAGGCATCCTCAGCATGGCTAACATGCATGTCACATACCACTGACATGCATGTCACAAAACTTTCCCTTCTGTTTTCATGGAGCAGACTGAATAAGGAGGATTTGGGATATTTAGCTTTTCCCTCAACTTTGTCAGTCCACAACAGCAACACTGCAACACTGCAGAAAAATTTAAATCCTTAGCATTTACTGCCCTCAGTAAATTTCTCCACCTTTAGTTTGCCTTAAGTGCCCACAGAATTATTAGCAGAAAATCAAGATGAGTGTGGATTGACTGCTGAAGCTCTTGTCAAAAATTATCTTTCCATCCAGTTGCTAGATGGTGCAGCTGGTCCCTGTTTGCAGCTGAACCCAGGGCAGACAGTTTTTAATGAACAATAATGAAGAAAGGGAGTCTTCAGTAACGAACTGTTTAGACTAACAGGCACCAGTGGTATAAAGAGTGCAGCTGAAATGTTAACACTGCTGTGAATGCCAAGGGAATGGAGATGCCTGGGTATGGACACCAGGAGGAGTGGCAGGAGTAGTATAGGAATGGCATGTATTGATAAAGCTAGATTCATCAATATTCAATATAATTACATGCAACATGCCAGAAAAGCCTACATCCAAACTAAAGCAAATATTCAAGCCATTAAGAGATGGTGGTGGGAGATAAAGACTAGTTTGGAGCCTAGGACACTCAGACAGGGAGCCAGCAGAGATCTGAGTAAATCCTAAAGACATGCATAGTAAGGACAGATGGCAGAGACAGAAGATCCTTACTGCTGTCATCTTCTAAGGGTCCAAAAAGCACTCCAGCAAGGAGGTTGTCAACATAAAAAAAAACCCCAAAAACCAACAAAAAACGCCCATATATATGTGTGTGTGTGTATGTGTGTGTGTCTGATAAGGACTCCACAGCCAGCCACCAACCCTTGTACATGGTCACCTCAGGGAGTCCTGGGGATGCACCTGGATGCACATCTTTTTACCTGAGTGCTGGACATGAGCCTAGATGCTTTAGAATGCATGGGTATGACAGACTGATTGAAATCAGTTGGTTTTTAAATGAGGACATCTTCCTTTCCTATGAGATACTCCACTGAGTTTTACAGTATTATTTAAACAAATTTTCCCACAATGGCATGTGTATTGAATGCAAGGACAAATAGGGCCTTGGTCCTCTGGAAAAAAAATCCTGATGAACATATATAAAGTTAATGGATAGACTGAGAATAAAGCAAAGTGGACCAATGATTTATGAATTCTTCACTATGGGAGTAATAAAGCACTGGAACACAGAAACCATGGATATGCCATCCCTGGAAGTGGCTCTGAGCAACCTGGTCTACTGGAAGGTGTCCCTGCCCATGGCAGGGGGACTTTAACTAAATGGTCTTTAAGGTCCCTTTCAGCCCAAACCATTCTTTGATTTCACAAGCTGGATAGCCACAGAAAATAGGTAAAGTTGTCTAAGTAGAGCAGAGCTTTTTACATTCCAGTAAAATATTTTATTCAAATATGAGATAGATTTGCCTCAGGCTTCTACTAAGTTTGTACAAGATGGTTTGCTGCTTGTTCCAATTTTTCAGTGGACAGAGGACTCCAGGCTACAAATTTAATCATATTACAAAATGCATTTGCATGTACTTATTGCTGTAATCTTCACAAGAGTTACAGTTCAGTTTGATCACTTGGACAATGGCTAATTGGAACCAGCACAGCCATATATCTTCTACATTGCTACTTTTGCTGCAAAAATACTTTAACAGAGTTAAATTATTTGCAATATTTCTTGAGCACAGCATTCTTAGGTGGCAATAAACATTTCATTTTTGTAGCCTTCCAAGCTGTTTCATAAACTTTAATGGGGTACTTTACAAGCTATGAAAAAATACAATCATCTGACAAACTGAAATATCTCTTGTAAAATAAGTTGCAGAAGTCACTTACAGTGAGTAATATCTGGTGGGCCATATGGATCTGTCATGTAAATGGTGGTGGGCTTTCCAACTTTCAGATACACTACATCTGATGTGTTCTTCAGTATTGCTACTGCCTCTTCATGGGTAACTTCTTCTAAACTGTAATTATTTACCTTAGAGGAGAAATCAGAGAGGTGAGTTGAAATGCAGAAATAGACACAAAAATGATACATCTTTGCAGTTTTCAAAATGTTTGGAATGTTGCTGTAAATGAAGAGCACTAAAGATTATAGAAGCAATTCTGCTGCAGGGTAGAAAATAAAGTTTTCTTAGCACATCCATGTTCAAAGACTCATGTAGCGATATTGCTACACAGAATCAAAATGGGTCAAGAAGGCACTTGGTTTTGACAATGAAAAAAGTTCTTTGTGATTTTCTGCTACTGGTATAATCAGCAATATAAAACTGTATTTAATAATAAATTAATAGCACCACATCAGTTACAGAAACTGTCTACAGTATTTGACCTATCAAAATAAATTTCCTAATTAATCTCTTAGCCTCCAGAAGTGGGACCTCAGAAATACCCAACACACCCAAATCTTTCCATCACTGATACGACACTGACAACTGAAACAAGCAGAGATAAAAAATGGCATATAGAATACATATGAGGTGCAGGAATTGAAAAAAGGCAGTTCAGGATGGGGAAAAGATATTTTTAATTGTGAAAGTTTGTCAGTTTTCTGGAAGCACAGGAAAAAGACATTGAAAAAGTAAGAGAATGTTGTACTAGCTCTGTACTTTTTTTAGAAGAGAAAAACACTTAAGCAAGGATAGAAGACTACAGATAAAAGTAAGAAAGGAAATGGTGGCTTTTTGCCTATTTATGCTTTACTCCCACAAAAAGAAAATCAAAAGAAAAGCATCTGAAGTGGTTTATTGTAGAGAAATATAAGATTTATTCACATATAAATCCACCGTATGAACAGACTGCCAACATTAGGTTGTCCTCCTATAAACAAAACTGTGAATGCTCCCTGCCACAAAATGTATAAAACTCCTGAATGGAGAAATTACAGAATAGGGGGGAAAAAAAAAGTAAAGGGTGTAGATCCAGGTTTCAGGCATATGGCATAAGACAAGAGAAATAACAGAATCACAGAATACCTTGAGTTGGAAGGGACCCATAAGGATCATTGGGTCCCTCTCCCTGCTCCTCACACTACTGCCTGAAACTGAACCACGCGACTAAAAGCATTGTCCAGCCTCTCCTTGAATTCTGGCAGGCTTGCTGCTGTGACCACTTCCCTGGGGAGCCTGTTCCACTGACCTACATTTAACAGTGAATGTTGTATTTGAAACATTTTACTGTCATTTAAATTGCCATCCTCCAACTTCCACAGTTACTGCAAGGATTCCTTTTAAAGATTATGCAAGATGAAAGCAGAATTCCCTCCTCACTATAGTATAACGGTAAATTGCAGAAAAAAGTATATTATTTCCAGGGAATTATCAGAAACCTGAATGTGACAATAAGCAATGGCCAAAGGGTTTGTCAATTGGAAAGAAATTCAGCTATTATGAATCACTGAAGGACTCTTCATATTCAAATGATTTCATCACCACTAAGAAAAAATTATTTCTATTGGACAGTATTGCTGAATGTAAGGATTCTGTCCAAACTTTTTTCTCTGCATAATTCTCAGGCTTGGTTTTAAGGGTAAAGAAAAGAGACAATGGCAGGTATATTATGATAATTTGACATGAAGGGCAGTGATAGAGCCTAACACTCAGAAGGGAGCTGCTGACAGAGTATGCTGTATTTTGACAGCTCTTCTATTTAAATAAAAATCTTATGCCTAACTTCTATAAATTTCTATATCTTTATTTGTTATGAAGAGCAATAACTTATATATACCTTTAATAAATAAATGCCTTAAATTAATAGGCTGGCAGGAAGAAGTGACTGAAATTATGCCTTTCTTGTTTATGTATTTCAAAACTGCCAGACACTTCCGATTCACACATTTTAGAAAGATGACCACAAGGCTATCCTTTATCTCTTCTCCTTCCCACACTGTCTGCACATTGTATTGTTGCAGTGTGATGCCATTTCCTGTTTCACCTATCCCAGTCCCCCAGGTGTGCCAACCTCTCCCTTCCCCTCCCCCTTGCCTCCTTGCTAAGTGCTCTCAGTCAATCTTATCATTCCAGCAGGGGTGTCCTCTGATTGGCAAAAGTTCAAAAGATGCCCCTCAGCCCTGGGGTCATTGGCTCGTCCAAGTGTCATTGTCCCCTGAGCCTTCCCCCCCTCCCACCTGGTTGGCGGCTCACCTGTCCCTTCCCTCCCCCTGCCCCCAAGCTTAAAAGACAAGGAGACCATGCGGTTGGGATACCAAGATTCAGACATGTGTGACTCTGGAATAAACTCTGGATTAAATCCTCTGCAAAATCCATTTCCTTTTCCTCTTCACCTAGCCTGGAGCCTTTCCATCAGAGGTAAACTGAGTTTCTACCATGCCTGGATTTGTTCTGAGTGCCCGACTGCAACTTCCAGCCAGCCAAAGGTGAAACACCACAGCTGCCACCTTTGGCCCAGCAGCAAGGGTCAGATGAGCCTGGGCACGTCCCACCCGATAAAATTGGGATTTTACTCCAATATTGTATTTCTTACATTTCATCCTAAGTTTTTTTGAAGTAGAGAAAATCTCACATAACCTCACCTACTTTACAGCTACTGTAAAAAATGTTCTCAGTCAAAAAAGACAAAAAATAAAATATCTTAGAACTGTCTGGATTTTGAATTTTTGGTCTTTTGAGAAGTGAATAAAAACAACGTCACAATTGAAAAAATGTGACAAAATTGACTTGATGCAACTTCTTTTCCAAAGGTGTTGGATTTTGGTTTTTGTTGGGGTTTGTTTCCATAAATTTAGCTGATAAAAATCATCACAAGATACTTGGACGTCACAGTTGTGCAGTAAAGAAGACAAAAATCCATTTTAGAAACAGAAAGTAAAGTATTATAATAGAAAACATATTTGATGCAGCAGGTCCTGTGTCTTCTCTCTGACAATAACATTATGGGACAGGTGTTTTACCAACACTGTACAAATGACTGAAATCTAGAAGTTAGGACTTAAGGAGTTCAAGCAATTCTAATGTCTATGCAGTTCAGCATTATATTTATTTTTATAGACATAAAGATCCTAGAGTTCATGGCAAAGTTTACGTAAAATCATTTTGTCCTGGACTGTTCAGTTCCCAGTAAACAAAGAAATAAAGACTCAATGTACATCAAGAGACAACAAACAAACGAACTTGTTGATTCATTCATAAAAATTAAGATCCTCGTGGGGTCATAAGGTCTCTTTTAAGTGGGAGCTCTTAGAGAAGGAGATGAGATCACCTTCCTTAGTCATTTTCCAACATCACCTTCGACTTGCACTTCCAGAGTTCCTTCAGAAGGCAGTTCTTGCTTTGCATTTAAAATTTCTATTAACAATCCTATGTGCATCTATCAATATATTTTCTACTTTTTGACCATAAAACAATGATCACAAATAAAGACATCTGTATGTGTTCTGCTACACAAAAAACTTGAATACTTAGAAGAATTCTATTGTTCAGACCCCAAGATATTATTGCAAGATGACTGCAGTATGTAGAGGAAACTCTGATCATCTTTCCTTAAAACACTGTACAGAGATGATGATAATAATAGGAAATATGATGTTGTAGTTGACTTTTATGTTGAGATTTATGTCAAGAGAAACTATTTCTGAAGCTATTTCTTCCATAAAAGATGCCTTGATATTGACAGAATTGTAAGTACTAAATCTGGCTTTTTCGGTGGTTTGGCACAATAAATGCATTATAGCAAAGCTTTGCTTCCTCCTGTAGAGATAACCTTATATATTTTTTGCATATAGCTTGCAAAAAAAGGGTTGGGTTAGAGGTAAAGAAGATAAAGAGTAGGAGATGCACACAAAGTAAGAAATCAAAGTGTATAGAGCATGCAATCCTCTGAGAGGCTGAATTTTTGTGCAGAATGGTGGACTTAATTCTGAGTGGGTAGAATGGGAACTGCATGCCAACTTTCTGGATCTAAGAAGACAATTTGAGTAGCAGTTAATTAAGGAAAAAACCAAACCTTAAGGCAAATGCTAAAAAAGATATTTATCTGAGTGGTCAGTTTTGTCACAAAGTTGTATATTTGAGACAAAAAATACTGTGACAGGAGCCAAAGGATAGGAGTCAGAAAGAAAAAAAGGCATGGAATAAATGGGACTTTTCTAATTGGAAAAGTTACATGCAGTGAAAATTTAAAAATGCAAATTGCATCTGCAGAAAAAAAATAGAAAAGCTTTTTCTTTAAATAGAAAGTATGTGATATAAGACATACTGGTAACATGAGAAACGAATAAGGGAAAGAAATAAAATAGCAGTAGAGAAGGAAATTAAAGATAAAAGTCCAATCAAAGAAGCTATTTGAGTGATGGGGGAAATCAATAAGAAATTATGCCAAAGAGATATAAAAAGAATGGGGTGGTTTTTTTTCCTAAATAGCATAATCAGGGCAATGAAGTATAAACCTAAGCAAGAATGTTTTATTTGGAAGTTTTCCTAGATTCATACTGAAAATCAAAAGCCCCAAAAAGCAGCTAGAAAAGCTCAGAATCCCCAAAATGACTGCACAAGTGCTCTAAAGAGTAATTTCATTCAGAACAATATAAGCTGATATGAGGATAAGAGCTCCAGAGGAATAAGTCTGTCTTATTTAATTTTTCTTTCTTAAAGGGGATTTGTTCATTTCCTCTATTGATTTAGGCTAAGAAAGATTTGATTCACTAAGTGAATGAGATAAAGGGGTGATCTTTACCTTACCAGTGGTAATGTTTGCTTTTCTGTAATATTCAACTTTTCATTCAGACAGTGGATTTTCCTGGCTGAACATTTACCAGTAAACACCTGCAACCTGCCAGCTGTAAACCTAGAATACTGATGGCCTTTTTCAAAACTCACTCACTTAAAAGGCTGCAAAAAGTGGGATGCTTTCCAGTGCTGAAGAGTAATGATTTGTACAAAGGATATAAATCTGTTTGCATTAACTAAATACTTATAATCCCATGGACTCGTGAGTTAGTTGCACAAGTGTTGGGCTGTTTTCTAAAAGACAATCCCACAAAGACAGCCAAAATCACTTTAAAAAACACCTCTGATCAGAACCAAGTGCAAATTTAGATGCATCTTGAATTACATCCTCTGATTTTATGCACTTTAATACAAACGTGATCCTGCATTCATACACAATCTGAAAGAAACAGATACTGGTAGGAGACCCTATAAGGAACACATCAACCATGGCACAGTCACAACCCCACAACAGTCCTATGAAATTACCAGAAAATAACAACTTTTTTCAGAAAAGAAGTATACATTTCTGAAAAGGAATGTGACTCCTGTTTCTTCCTCCTGTTTCCATCCAGAAAACAGAATCAAATTAGACCTCTTGTTATATACAATCACTGATCTCTGTGACTATACGGGGAAAGAAGCAACAGGATACAGCCCAAACTTGGAAGGGTATTTTGGCATATGAGATGTATTTTGGAAAAGCTAATAGCGATAAAAGATTAATAATAATATGCATTTTCCTTTAAACCCTAATGGTTTTAGCATTTTCCCTGAAAAATGCCTTGCTATTAGTTTTGTTATGTAGTAGTAAAAAGCTAGTACCAGTTTTATACTGATTTCTCATTTACTCATTCTGTAGATAACAAACTTGTCCAAAGTAAGATGATGGTATGAGATAAAAAAAGTAATTATTATCTGAGCTGTAATAACTGAAACCATTTATCAGCTTTTCTTGATCATCATTAGCAGTGACCTTGAAGAGGTGAGACATGCATCATGTTTGCAGGTGACACTTCATTTCACTGTGAGATACTCGAAGGCAGAGCTGCCAAAGATTGGAAGAAGGACCTGAAGAAGACTTTATGATGTTCAGTAGGAAGAAACAGTAAATCCTGCTCCTGGCACAGGCTAACTCCCATCAATAGCACAGGCTGGGCACTGACAGCCTGGCAGCATCTCTATGGAAAAGTGCTTGGGGCTCCTGATGGATGGCAAGCTGGTCATGAGCCAGCTGTGTGTCCCGGCAGCAAAGAGGTCAACAGCGTCCTGGGCTGGATGAGCAGGAGCAGGGGGCTGGAGAATGAGGAAAGGATTATTGCCCAATAGTTAACACTCGTTAGCCTGAACCTGGAAACTCTGTTGAGTTCTGGTTCCTGCACTACAGGAAAGATAACAGGAGGCAAGTTGAGAGCTATGCTATTGAGATGGTTGGGGATGGAGCACTGACCTGCTGAGGAGAAAATGAAGGATCTTGGCACTTTTAACCTGGAGAAGGGGTTCCTCTGAAGACAACTATTAACAGACCCCCAGTGCTTACAGGAAGATCATCAAGGCAAAGCTAAGCTTTTCAGAGTCACATGTGGTAACAGGATGAGTGACAGCAGGCAGATGTTGAAACAAGAGAGGGCCAAACAGGTTATCAGGAGAAGTCCTTTCCTCAGGAGGACAGCTGAGCTGCAGAACAAGTTTCCTAGAAAGGCTCTGCAACCTCCATCCTTGGAGATTTTTGAGATGCAACTGGATAAATCCCTGAGCAACCTTGTTGGCCCTATAGCTGGCCCTGAATTACCATGGTGGTCTGTGATGCTCTGTACATGCTTTACTTTTTGTCCTTTCCACTGCGGACAGAAGCTGAGACACCCACTGCAGTGGGATTCTCATTGCTGGCATTACCACCAGCAGAAGGAGGCCTTACCACCAGAACACAGTGAGGGAGTATTTTTCCCCTAGCTGTAAGTCTTCAGAGAAGAGCTTTGGTCTTTTCCTTTCATATATACCTAGAAAAACCATTCGGTTTTTGGGTTTAAACACTTATGCTTTCACCAGTATTTTTCCCAACAGGTACCTCAGGATTAATGCACAATGGAGCATTGTCCTGTGCAAACGCTCAGGTTAGTAAGTCTTAAGTGCCACAAGAACATAACTGCATAACATGCCCTTGCACAGATTTCACAATAATCACAATGTATTATTTACAGAATACATCTTCAGAAATGCTTAACACACTATATGCAATCTGCATTTAATAACAGTAGGGTCATCAAGCTGCAAAATGCTCAGGTGGCCCATTCTTGTCTTACATTTCAATGCTAGTTTTTATTTTGCTTCTACACTTTCATCACCTCTTAAATTTATATTAATTTGATTTGCACTTTCTTCAGGATCTGAAAGCATTTCACACAAAATTATCACAACACAGATACGAAAATTAAAAAAGCTACCCAGCAGCTGCTGAGAATTCCACAAGGATGACAAATTCTTTTAAATTCTGTAGAGAATGATGGAAAAAGCCAAAGATCAAGAAAGGATGAGTTACTGAGAAGGAAAAAACAAAAAAAGAGGAACTGCTCAAACAAATAATCAAGAAATCAGTGAAGCAGAAGTAGGACCACATAGACGACAAGGGTAATACTCTGTTGAAACACTGCCAAAAGAAAGTAATTAATTTTTTCACTCACTATTCATAAAGGAACATGAAGTTTATGCCACGAACTGACAGATAATTCACAAATTATGATAGAAAAATACTGAAGGTACAGAAGTTAAATCAGGTTGTCTAGTTGGAGAGAACCAAGAAACATGGCTGCAATCTGCATGAATTTTAGAAACAGTTTTGATCTTGTGAACGAATCTCTGAATACGCAATGATTACAGTACACAGAGAGTAAGCTGACTAGTATTTTCTTGTGCAACAGTGAAAACCTTGGTCTGGAAGTACTACTACATGTAGAGGAGAGCAATACTTGGAATGATTTTTTTTTTCTCATTTTACATACAGTGATAAAAGGAGACAACACTTTAGTGAAGAAAAACAGTCCAGACTGAAAGGAAAGAAGAACAAAGACATCAAATGTAATGCAAATGACCTCTGCTCATTTTCAGAAGTATAAAATTGTCACAATTGTCACAATGGAGAAACATCTATATCTGACTGCAGTGAATCACAGTTTGAAGGCTGAGATGCTTAATAAACTACTCCTGTAAAAATCTGAAAAGAATGAATTTATGCACAGTGGTACAGAAAATATTTCTATTTAAATTAATTCTAATGAAATATGAAATTACATTGGAGAGGGTGAATGTGGGGGATTTGCATCTATTTGATTTCCTTTTATATAAGGTATTTACTACCTCATGTGAATTGGAAAAAATTAGGAGTAAAGTAACAAAAAATTGCAGATAACACAAAAACTGCAAGGAATTCTCATCAGAGTAAAAAGCAATAAAACCAGCTGAACAGAAGCAGATTTGCAACAAGTTGCAAAATAACTAAAGTGCAAATTTTGCAAATAGAAATATACATTTCTGCACCAAAATAAGCCAAAACTTCATTATCCAACAGTGACTTGAATTTCACGATGCTGAGATTATGCAAAGACAAAATGCCAAAGAAGTTTTTGAGTTCTAGTTTCATTTTGCTCTGATTTTGCTAACACCAGTTGATCCTTAAGCTGTTTTTTCTACCCATTTGGGTTAATTAAAAAAGACAAAGAGTCATCAACCCAGCAACCAAGTGCCTTTCCAGTTCTGTTTAGTACTCTGTCATAAAATTAATGCCCATCTTCATATGTGACTGGAACATAATGTCCCTAGCCAAATAAAGAAAACCTCAATTAGGCCCAGCTTCACAGGCAGCAAAAAAGGTCAACTGCTTAAATATCACATCACAGAACAGGGCTAATGCAGTACTAGTTTGTTCTTTTTTTTTCATTGCACTTATTAAAAAAATATTTTTCTACCTGCTGAGATCTATGCAAATACATTGACATGAATACAAGTTGACATAGATTAACTTGTGCTGATTCACCAGGGTCAGGATTTCCCCCTCAGTCTTGAATTAAACAAACTCTGTGAGTGGGAAAGCATTATTGACAAAAAACAATGAACCCGCACTAGAGAAAATTTGAAAAATGTTTGGGGTGTTTTTTAACATGTATATGGAACACATAAGCAAAGCATTCCTACAGGTACTGAAATGTAAGTAGTGGCCCCCTGACAGTTGCTACATGGGAGTCATTTATGGCATGTTATGACAGCTTTCAATTTGTGTACAATAAACAGTAGAATCAGTACTACCTTAACAAACACTTTGTCTAAAATCTTTTAAGTTTTATGGTCTATTTTGACTTGTTCCTTACGTGCATAAGACATTTATTCTCTTCTCTGTAAAAGGTTTGTCAAAGTAATATAATACACTGCCTTCATAAAATGTTAGCTTTCCAGAGGAATGAGGTTTTTTACTTCAATATTAGAAAAATATTTTAAAAATGGGGAAAATGAAGATGATGGAAATACAATTATTATAGCAGTCATTTTGGTTACGTCCAGAAAGATGTATGGTGAATGAAAGTCCTTATCTGAAACAATTTTTAGCTAAATAAATGGAATTAAAATTTGTCATACTTACCATAAGAAGTCTATCTCCAACCTGCAATCTCCCATCTTTTTGTGCAGCTCCCCCATCAATAATCTTAGTGACATAAATGCTGTTGTCCCCAGGGATGTGCTGGTTTCCCACCCCTCCTGCAATACTGAATCCTAGACCTGGAAAAGATATTGCAAACAAAACATTAGCGATACAACATAGAACACTAAAGAGAAGTGGAAGAGTAGCATATACAATGTACACTTTGAGTATTTTTTTTCAGAAATACAAATAACACACTCTTTCACTTCTCCTGAAAGGTCAGGGACAGAACTGTAAGCAAGTAAATTCTTTGCCATTTACAATTACAGAAAGGTAGAGACAAAAACAATTGAACCAGTGGTGATTCTGTACACCCTCATCCCTGGGGTCCAGTGCAGCCTACATCAAGAAGTTATGGCTCAGCTTTCCATGATCAGCATTAAAATACTGAAACTTGGAGTTTGGTAAATATTGCTATAAAATACATCACCATCTATCAGAACAAAATGAAAGGTGTTCTGATTGATTGTCCACACAATTTGAAAAATACTTGGAGACGTCTAGCACATGTTTTGCAAGTTCATGTAGTACCACAGTGAAGGACCAGTGAAAATAAAAGAGAAAAGGTGTAGATGTTTGATTTAAAGTGTGGGTTTTTTCCTTAGGACACAAATCTGTGGCTATGGACACATAAAGAAAGCAACAGTCCTTTGTAAATACCTAACTTCTATTCAGTGACCTGTGAAATTCCTAGATAAACACTCAGAGACCCAAACTTTGTAACAATGTCAATGATACATGTTGATATGATTAAAGGAAGGCAAAATAAATTGATATTGGGGGAAAAAAAAGCCCTTTTCCCCTTTTCCTATATTTCTTACCCTCTGACACATTGCACATACAAGCAAACCATTACTTTAATTTTTAGGAACATTTTTACCTCTCAATCAAAGAAAAGACAGAAATTACTGCGCTTGATTTCCATAAAAATTAACTTCATACAGCTAATTTTTCAGAGATTATGTAGCTAATGGGGACTTCCATCTGAACAGAGAAGCTGTTTCTGACAATATCCTGCCTAGATTATTGCTCCAGCTAGGGATTTCTCTTTTAGCTGTACAGAAAAGAAGTTATGTCTATTTAGAGAGTAATCACTGGTTTTATCTATGAAATCTACGCTGTTCACTCATTCCTAAAAGAAACATGTTGATAATTGCTGTAGCCTGAGCAGTAAAATACAGTATTAAAAAGTGAGTTGCCTGAAATCTGGCATTTCACCACAAACTCAAAAGGGACACTACTTGGGCAATAAAAATTAAAGGACAGTGTATATTTAATGCACACAAAATTTTTAGCAGCTTTGTACTTAGTATGAGTACAAAAATAAGGAGAGTGAATTAATTATTTTAATTTTTTTTACCACATTATTTTCGTTTGATCATTATTTCAGCTTCAAAAAGATGTGAGGTCAGGTACCTCACATAATGGACTACTTAATGGAATGTGTCCCACCATTTCTTTTTGTAAATTACAAAAAGAAACCTTTGAATTTATATCTCCAATTGAAACAGTACTTAATTAATTGACTATTAACAATACACATGAAGTTAATTTAGAAGTATAGGGTAATTAAAAGAAAGCTTTATTGAATTTCCAGCTAAAGCTGGCAATCACTCTTATTTATGTGCTACTGTCAGTACATGGATAAAAAGATAGTGATTTTTTCAGCAGGGAAGGATTTTTCCTGGGACTGCTAACAAAGAAGAGAAAAGATATTCTAATAAAACATTAAGAATGGAAATTTTTTAAAAACACTAGTTACGGACAAGGAACAATGATTGAATAATATTTCTTGGTGACATAATTATAATCAATTTGATCTAGACCCCACCTGTATAGGCTTCTACCAGTAAAGATATGAGAATATTCCAGAATGCTGGTGGGAGCAAATGAGGGGGCTAGATCTCAGCCAGAGGGCTTTCCTCAGCCCTGCTGCTCACCTCAGGCATGACCGTGGGAAGAACAGGTAGGTAGTGCACTTCCATCTCCTCCTCTCCCCTCTATTGACACGGTACACACTTAAAGGGCAATGCCATTTCTGCACACACAGCTGGCCTGCACTTTGCTCAAAGTGAGTCCTAATTCAGCCTGGTCCTGCTGCAACACAAGCAAGTAGTAGCCAAGACAATCACCTGCATTTTCTGCAGTGCTGAGTGGGGGCTTGGCTTGCTGTCTGCATGGTTGTAGCACAATGGATGTAAGAAAACATAAAAAAAAAGGAGCACCAATGCAGGCTGCTCCCAAAAAGTGAAAAAAAAAAAATCACAAAAGTGACGCTTAAAATAATGGAACAAGTAACTTTTTCTACTACAGCCTACATAAATTTTAGCTGTGATACAATGTGGGGGCTACATTGCATTTGTAAGCAAGGTCTAACTTTGGCCATCCAAATAATCCACAGTGATTACAGAAAAGGCTTCGAAGAGCAGAACAAGATGGGGTAATACTGCAGGGAGCAAAAGGAGAGTGGGTAGGAAAAAAACTGAGGAAAAATTTTCCATGTCAATCAATAATGATTTAACTTCTTTGCTTAATCATACTTGCCTTCTATAAAAGATTTCTTCTTGGAAGGAACAGGGAATGGAACAATGACCCATTTAATTTAATTTAAATTACTTCTTCTAATTGCTAGGGCACATGGAAAGTATACTACACAAAAACTTTTGGGTAGGATTCACATGGCCAAATGACATCAGACAACTATGGTTATCATTTATACTACCTGTATGATAAATGAAAATTCATTAAGAGCTTTTAAAGTATGATTCATCTCATCTCAACAAGACATCTGAAAGAGATGAGGTGAATCATGCTTTTGGTTTCTGAAAGGCTGGGGTCTGGATGTGGGAAGAGATGAGTGGGAAGATCAGTGCTATGAAAGTTCACAATCTGAGTTCATTTAGACTCAAGGTTTCTGTTTGAACACTTTGGAAAGATTTGCTCAATCCTGGTGTGCATCTCTGATCACTCACTACATCAGGTTAGTGTTACATCAGATTCTTACTCTGTTTTAAAAGCAGAGAATCATTCAAACAATGGAACAAGATATGTTTTCTAAATGGCATTTTTCATAAAACACCATATTTGATTGCAGAACCTTTTTCTTGTTGATTCCTTTGGTTATGAAAACATTTCTATCAGAACACAGATCAGGAGTTGATCACTTCCTCTTTGGCTGATGCGCAATCTGCTTCACAGAATCAGCTGATTTTGGAGAGAGTGCTCAAATTCCTCACAACAGGAATTAGATGGAGGATAAATTCAGAATGAAGTTGAGGAAGAAATGTTTTATGATGATGGTGGTGAGGCACTGGCACAGGCTGCCCTGAAAAGTTGTGGATGCCCCACCCCTGGAGATGTTCAAAGCCAGGTTGGATGGGGCCTTGAGAAACCTGATCTAACACTAATGAGTAACAGGTTTGGAACTTAAAGATCCCTTCCAACTCAAACCATTCCATGTTTCTGTGGTTCAGTGAAGAGACTACCTCAGGATGGAAAAAAGTGAGAATTGGATCTAATACTGGTGCACATCCAAGTCAAACTCAGCTTTGTTCACAATCACTGAAGAGGATAGGCCCTTATAAGACTGGCTCAATGTTGAGTCAAACTAAATTTCCTTCCATTTCCACTGGATTTGTGTTTGTAAAATTCATCTGCCCTTGGGTACCACAAATGTTGATCACCGATCCTATGAATAACAATGTCTAATAATCCCATGAAACAGAAGACGTTTCTGGTATCAGAAAGAGGAAAAGGGACAGGGAAAAAAGCTATTCCACCAAAACTGGAAACTGCAGAAAAAAAATGCTACTATTAATAAGTTGAAGATATTTTGTAATATCTTTTCCTGGGATTACTAGCAAGACCATGTTAAAATATTCGGCTATTTACATCTATTTTGCATTATTTGCCATACCAGATACATGTTTTAAATATATCACATGTTTTAAATATATCACAATATAAGTAAAACAATATGTTTTATTTTTCTAGTGAAAGTAGGCTTGGATGCTCCCCACATAGTTAGCTCAGCAAGTTGGACTAATAAAAATAAATAATAATAATTAAAAATAATGAAACCTCTGTTAAAGACACAGTGGGTTAATAACACTGCAGGTATACCACTTTGCAGTAACCAGAGAGGGAGCTAAAAGATCAACTCCAGCTATGTAATGTCAGCTTTCTAATGAGAAGTGAAGTCAAAGAAACTGAGTCAGAGTGCCAAAAATGGATGTTGGATTTTGCTACTATCCTACACAGAGAATCAAGCTTATTTTAAATCAGCAAACAGAGTGAGGATTTTAAAACAGAAATCCAACATGAGTTTCACAGCTCCCAATAAAGGGAATCCAAAGATAGCAGCATTTAAGACATAACCCTAAAATATAGTTAAGAAATGCTTGCTTTTCAGGTAGTTAACCAAAACAGTGCTTTAGAGACATAGAACAGGTAATTCCTAGCTATACCACAGTACACTTTACCTCATAACTGACCTGTGAGCATAGACTTAGTGAAACCCACAACAGGCATAGGACTTTCAACAGAAATATGATCATATTAACAAATGAAATATGAATGGGAACAGGAATGTAAATACTAGAAGAAAGACCAAAGGTTAGAGAAATCATATGTACTGACAGTACAGAGCATCCCAAGCAAAAAAAATCAAAATGAGTCACTTCTGTCAAGCCTGGACAGAATGTCTGGACACTCTAAGACCTTTGAACAGGTGTCTTGCCAGCAGAAGACCCTGTACCATGACAGTGGGATGTTGGCAGCAAGACTGCAGCATGTGACATCTGCCATTCTCTTGCCTGTAAGCCTAACAGGGAAGCAGATTATATCAATAAAAATATGTGTTTACTAAATGAAAAAAATCAGGAGATGAGCAGCCACCTTGCGGCTTAGAGACTGAAGAAAGGAGTGTTCAGTATAAAGGACCACCCATAATAACAGTAGACTCCTAGAGGGTATAAATAATTAATCCAAAAATCTGTCAGTTCATGGTTGTCAATCAAGAAAATGCCAAGAGATGTGGTAAGGGTTTGATGTCCCATGTCCTTTGTATCTATCACAC